AAGTTTTATTAATTTTGTCATTTTTATTCGTTTTTATTTCTTTCAAATATTTTTTAGCTTAAATAGCTTACATTTATTTGTATTTCTTTTTTACTTTTAGTACTTAAACCTGTTTCAGTTATCAGTTTTTCATTTTAAATTATTCATCTTTTACTAATATTTTAATTTTATTTCAGCTTTATTTCAATTAAAAGTGATTTTTAGTTTAAAAAAAAATATTTTTCAAAACTAGTAAGCATAGTGTGTTACTTTTGTCCACTTTTAAAATGCTCTTGAATGACGCTGTAATGATGTTACGCTAGAGCAGCTGTACGTCCTCAGGGCTCCTGACTCATCAATGACGTCACACTTTGATTAGTCTTTGAGTCCAATTGGCAAAATCTCACCGATAAATCTGATTACGATCTAGCATTGACCTTTATAGCCGTGAGTCAGTCTGAGCACATGTGTTCATCTGAAGCTGTTTGCTAGCAGAAATGATTCCGAGAGTCAATATTCTGTGTCAGTATGAACACTTTTATCTGCATCTGGTTAGTTCGCTATTTCTCCATCTCTCTCGCTCTCTCCCGCTGGTTTAGAGAGCTCTCATTTGGCCTTTCAGATAATTGGCTTTGTGTCTGGACTGATTTGAGATCTGTGAGAAAGAACATGCGCCACCAGACAGACAAAACCTACTGCTCTCCACCTTTACTTTGATATTCACTAGAGCTAGACAGAGCAGACAGGCTGCCGACAGAGAAACTGAACGTCGCTATAGAGACTTTAATCAGACTAAATGTTCAGAGTCTAGTTAATCAGGCTCTCGGCCAAAGTAACTGACTTCATTCCTTCCTGCGAGTTAGCAAAACATCTAAGCTGAATTATGTGAATTATGTTATTGTTTCAGTGATCAATTCTGTGAAATGTGCTGCAGAGAAATGTTCTTTGAGTTACCAGCATTCCTTCCTGCGAGTTAGCAAAACATCTAAGCACATGCTCATGAATTATGTTATTGTTTCAGTGATCAATTCTGTGAAATGTGCTGCAGAGAAATGTTATTTTTCCTTGGAGAGTTACCAGAGGAAAATGACTGCTAAAATGTTGCTTCAGTTTTTATATAAATTAAACTAATATCTGAGTCAGAGTAAAATGAATCTGGATAGTATTCATTCATTCGTTTGTTTGCTTTTATTTAGCTTTTATATTTATATTAGTTATTAGTTAGTATTTATAGTGATAATATTGAGACACAATAACATTATTTCATTTGTTTATTATTCATTATTAATTATTATTGTTTTAATATTTATTTGAATATTCATTCTTATAGTGTTCTTATTAATTAAGATTGGACCAAGTATGGTGACCCATACTCGGAATTAGTGCTCTGCATTTATCCCATCCAAAGTGCAAGACTCAAACCCGCAACCTTTGGGTTACGAGTCCGACTCTCTAACCATTAGGCCACGACCCCTGGATGGTATTCATTCATTCATTCATTCATTCAGTTTAGTTTGTATTTATAGTGTTCACGCTGAAACTCGATTGTATCTTATAGAATTTATTTATAAAATCTGGGTAGTATTTATTTATTTATTAATTTTATTGCGTTGAATTTATTATAGTGTTCACATTAGGGGTGTGCGATATATATCGTCTGCGATAATATCGTAATTGTTGTTTTAACGATGTGCGATTTGACATTAT